TTCTTTTTGTCTTTTTTCGTGACCGGTAACGGGATCGCAACCCTCGGTGTCGCGCCCGCACCATGCTCAACCAGTGAGCGGACCGGTCTCTATATGGGATCCGAACCCTCGGCGGGAGCGCCGCCACACTCCCAAGCGCTGCACTCTACCGAGTGCGCCACCGGGCCGGCCCATGGTCTGCTTCTTGAAGGTCTATAGGTAGAGCTTCATTTCTTTTACAGTCCTCATGGCAGATCAATAACATTTAGTAACTTAGTGCTTTCACAGTCTCTTTTGATATTCATAACAGCTCCGTGATTCAAGCATATTTATCCCCATTTCACAGATTGGAAAACTGAAACCCAGAGAGAAGTGACTTGCCCAAGGCCACACACCAAATCAATGGCAAAGCTAGAACTAGAAATTCTCCAACTTCCAACCAAGTCTCTTTAGCTTGAGCCTACTTCCACTGTAGCTTAAGACCTTTTTCCAAGGAATAGGTTAAACTGCCCCAGAGAAAATGAACCTGTATGGCCTACTTTGGGTTATTTACACCTCGGCCTGAATGAGTTACAAATCCTTCCCTGAAAGTTTTTTTTTTTTTTTTTGTCTTTTGTCTTTTTCCGTGTCCGGCAACGGATCGCAACCCTCAGTGTTGCCCCCGTACCGGACCGGGGACCGGCAACGGGATCGCAACCCTCGGAGTTGCTCCAGCGCCTCGCTCAGCCAGTGAGCGGGAACCGGTCTGTATGTGGGATCCGAACCCTCGGGCGGGAGCGCCGCCGTGCACCGGGCCGGCCCCTTCCCTGAAAGTTTTAATGGAGAAGGTAACTAGAGAGACTGAAGACAATGGGAATTGAACATATTTAACTAAACAGGAAACAATCTGGCTACCACAGTGTCAGTGTCTGAAGCTGCCATGATTAGCTGGCTACTGACTGGTGTCTAGCTGTCCTGATTGGTCGACTTACCATCATAAAGTTCTTCCAGGCTTGGTCCTATGCACGCTTCCCACCTCACTATATTCTCTTCTTGGGTGCTCTCATTCACACCCACAACTTCATTTACCATCTCTATGCCTCTAGCTCAGCCCTCATTTCTAAGCTCCAGTTTTGTATATCCAATGCCTCCTCAGTATCTCATTGAGGATATCTCAAAGGCAACCCAAACTCAACATTTCTGAAACTGAACTCATAATCTCTGTGCATCCCAACCCTCTCCTCCAAGCCTAGATTTCTTCCAGTGCTCCCACCTTCATCAACAATATACACAAACCAAAAACTCAAGAGTTATCCTTAATACCTTTTCCATTTCCCATCTATCATGAAGTCTTGCCAGCTTTGCTTCCTAAATATGTTTTATCTAATCCTAGCTACTATCACATCCTTCCTGCCTTCTCTTCCAGCCATTTTGCATACTGCAGCAAGGATAATCCTTCAAAATGGAAATCTGATATTGTTCACTCTCCCCACCCCCCCCTCTATTTAAATACCTACTCTGTGGCTTCCTATTGCTGTTAGCATAAAACAACATCTTGGGTGGATCCAGCCTACCTCTCCAGCCTCCATTCTAACCATACACACCCCTCTTTCTCTCTCTTCCAGTTATATGACCTTCTTTAAGGTCTTCAAAGTTTTTTGGGTTAGCCAGGTAGCTCAGTTGGTTAAAGTGCAGTGTTATAAGGTCACTCAAACGTTAAGGTTCTTGGTAACTGCCAACTGCAAAAAAAAAAAAAAAAATTTCCAAGTACACTCCCACCATAGAGGCTTTGCATATAGCTGTTACTTCTGCCTGGAATGCTCATCTTTTTCCCCTGCTTAATTAATTTGCACTTATCCTTTAGATTTTTTCTCAATCACTTCTTCAGGAATGTCTTCTGACTGCTCAGAACAGATCAGATCTCTCAATTATAGCAACCTCATGTCCCTCTCCTTTATAGTATTATTCAGTTACAATTTTTTATGTATTTGTTAAGCACCTACTATTTGCCACCACTATGAAATACCACTATGAAAAAAACATGGTTCCTGCCCTGGTGGAGTTTACGGACATTACAGACAGTAAGCAGGTAATTACAGTGTTATAAATGCTACCAGGGCAATAAGTATAGGGTGTTACAGGAGCCCAGAAGAGAAGTTCCACATCCAGATTTAGGGAAAAGGATACGCTTCTCAGAAATGTTGATACCCAAGCCAAGTCCTAAAGTAAGAATAAGCAAGGCAAAAGGAGGAAGGAAGAAACTGTGTTCTAAGCAGAGGGAGCTGGAAAGAGAAAACTCTTCCAATCAGAGGCCCAGAGGCAGGTGCAGGGAACTTAACTGCAAGTAGTTCCATTTGGCTGGACTGCAGAATTGGAAGTGCAGATAAGAGATGTGAGTAGGGAATATGACCTCCTCCTAGGATATATTAAATTATGTGGCAGATTTTTTTGTAGTATTCTTTGATTTTTCTTTTACCTGTAGCCCATAAACGGAAACCCTCTCTAGGTCAGACTGTTCAATATCCTGTCACATCTCATCTGATTATTCCTCAAAGCTTCCTGTGTCGTCATGTTGCTGCTTGCCTGAGAGAGGGCAGGAATGGCTCATCTTATTATTCCTCAAAGCTTCCTGTGTCGTCATGTTGCTGCTTGCCTGAGAGAGGGCAGGAATGGGCTAGCAACAAATCAAATTCCAATTGTTAGTAATTTCCAAAAACTGAAGACAAATTTCCATCAATTTAGGTTTTTTTAAATAAAGTTAAATTAAGTAAAGAAAAAGTACGATACATACTATGGAATTCTCTGCAGCTATTAAAAAGAGAGTCTACAACTTGAAAAGAAAAGAAATAGGTTTACGAAGGAATAGACAGTGTTTATTTAAAAATATACATATTACATATGCATTCTAGGAGGTTATATTCCCAAACTGTTAATGGAGATTCAGACTTTCAGTTTCTACTTGATGTACTTCTGCATGTTGTTTGACTTTATTCAGCTATCACATTAACTTTTACAATTAAAAAAAAGTTAAAGATATTTTCAATCAGAAAAAGAAAAATTCCAATTCTAAAAGAAGGCAGGTATGCCCCTAACCCTGTCATTCATCAAGTCAGTCAGTCTGGACAGATAAAGGTGCTGGGATCTATCTCCTGGTCATGAACCGGAATAGCAGCTGGGAAAGACTGATTCCAAAAACACAGCCATAGGAGTAAGCAAGGTAGCATCAAGGCTTTGTCAGTTCTCCCCCAGCAGTCAGGCCTTCTGTGTAACATCTTGAAGACACCAGTTATTCCTTCATTTCTTCTTTTATTTTTTCATTTACCCACCAAGCCTTTAGTGAATAGCCATTCTTTGCCAGGCTTAATGCAGGGTAATGGTGGGAACAGAGAGAGAAGCTGGACTTCTTGTCCATCTCCTCAGGTTTACAGGGAGGGAATAGAAAGTAGGTTGTAAAGAAATGAGTACAGAGTAGACAACTGCTTCCATTTATTGAGCACCTGTTTCAGGACATAAAATAGCTCTCAAAGCTCATTTCACAGATGAGAAAACAGGCTATAATAAAATTTTGTTTTGCATCAGTTAGCTATGGTGTGTAACAAACCATCTAAAAACACAGTGGCTTAAAACAGTAAGCCTATATTATTACTTCTAGGTCTCTGAGTCAGCTGGCTGGTTGTTCTGGTCTTAGCTGGGCTCACTCATGTGTCTGCAGTCATCCCTGGATTGGGTGACTCTCCTGATCTTGACTGGGAGTAGGCTGGCTATAGGCTAGTCTAGGATGATCACAGTTGGAATCACTGGCTCTCTTTAACATGTCTCTCACCTGAACATCTCTTATATCCCTCCAGCAGGCCAGCCATGTTCTCATGGCACTGGCAAGGAGCTAGAGGGCAAGCCCCCTTTTAAAGCTTCTGTTTGCTTCATGTTTATCAGCATGGCTAAAACAAGTCACATGGCTGAGCCCAGCATCAGAGTGGGATGAAACTACAAAGTTAAAGGGCAAAAAGGAAGGATATAGGGGAGACCATGAATAGGGATCATCAAGGCAATTAATCTAACACAGGACACATTGATCAATTTTATCTGGAAAAGAAAGGCTTTATAGAAGAGGGTACATTGGAGCTGAGTGTTGAAACACGAGTAGACAGCTGTTAATTGGAACTAGGCACAGGCCAGTTTGCCATGATCAGTAGAAACCCAGCAGGTCTTTTTTCTGCTCATGACAGGGTTCTATTATTTGTATCATGGCTTTATTCCTTCTAGTTAGGCACAGGACAGCAGGCACTCAACAAATGTTTGCAAAACTGAATTTAATATCTTACTGTGAATGAAGTGTGGACTGAAACAGAGCCAATTGTTAGAAAGAAGAGCTTAGCACCAACTTTCCCAAAACAGAAATCCTTGAATTTGGCAGTTTCTAATTCATTCATCTCACAGACATTTCCTGAGTGCCTGTTGTAAACCAGGTTCTGTGTTAGATGATGAGTAAGAAACGATACTAGCTCACAGCCTAGACTACTGTTTAAAGAGAGAAGGCTAATAAACCTTTCCAAACAGCAAATTTATCCAGCTTCTTGGGGCTCCATTTTTAATACTTACTCATTCAGAAAATGCATCAGGAACGAAGCTACACAAAATCAGTTCTTAGGAACCGCAATGAGATCCTCTGATGGTCAAAGAGACTAATGGTAAAAATCTGCCCTTAAGTATTTTAAGCTAAATTCCACATTCAGTGATGCAGGACTCTGGAGTCCCAATCCATGACTTACTTTAAGAAAAGTATCCACTCTTGCTCAGACATCAAATCTGTTGTAGGTGCTGAAGTGGGATGGGTTTCTGCCTAGCTAGATTCCTCTATTTCTACAAAAGAATAATGTATTATTTGTTGTCTGCCTGTAGGTCAGATATCTAAAAGATTCAAGTCTCCCTAATCAATAACCTGTGCCCATGGGGCCAGTCCAGCACTTTCAGCTGTGACTGACTCAAGCTGACACTTCCCCAAAGCTCAGTTGAGCTTGCTACTTTTTTTTTTTTTTTTTTTTTTTTTGCCAGCTGGCCTGTAAGGGGACCCAAACCCTTAGACCTCGGTGTTACCAACATTGAGCTCTAACCAGTTGACCTAATTGGCCAACCTTGAGATTGCTACTTTTTGAAAGCAAGACTTTCCATTCCTCTAAACCTTTTACTCTATCCTGGCATATGTTAAATCACTAAAAAAGAAATTTACTTGAACTGTAGTAATTAAGCTTAAACTGAATTACAAGGTATCAGGTCCTTGGTGTTTTTGTTTGCCTGTTTGTTTTTTCTGGCAGCTGGTTAGTGTGGGAATCCGAATATAGGTCCTTGCTTTTAACCGTAATTCCATTTTAAGAATATTTGCCAATTTCATTGTCTCTACATACAAACTAATTTCTTCTTTGAATCCAGTGATGAGAACTACATATCCCAAGGTTTCCTTTTGCTTTGACTGCCAGGAATTTCAAAGCTAAATATAGGCCTAGATTCCTAAAGCCTCTGATACATCTCTCTCTTTCTACTTTAATCTAGTTTCTGATTTTTCTCTTCCATTTTGATTTTCTACATCTGCACTGTCCAGTATGTTAGCCACTAGTCAAATGAGCATTTGACAAATGAGCATTTGACAGATAGCTAATCCCACCTGGGATGTACTATAAGTGTAAAATATCTCAATAATTTTTTTTTCCTTTTTGTCTTTTTTCGTGACCGGTAACGGGATCGCAACCCTCAGTGTTGCACCCGTACCACAACCGGCAACGGGATCGCAACCCTCGGTGTCGCGCCTGCACCGCGCTCAACCAGTGAGCGGACCGGTCTCTATATGGGATCCAAACCCTTGGCGGGAGTGCTGCCGCGCTCCCAAGCCATGCACTCTACCGAGTGCGCCACCGGGCTGGCCCAATAATTTTTAATATTGATCAATTACATGTTGAATGATATTTTGGATATATTGGGTTAAATAAAATATATTATTAAAATTAACTTCACTGTTTCATTTTACTTTTATTATTATGGCTACTGGAAAATTTTAAATGATGTGTGAAAAAATTTATATGTGGCTTGCATTCGTGACTTGCATATTTCTGTTGGACAGCACTTTTTTTTTTTTTTTTTTTTGTCTTTTTTGTGACCGGTCAGGGGATCGCAACCCACCGGCCATCTCTATATAGGATCCGAACCCACGGCGGGAGCGCTGCTGCGCACCTAAGCACCGTCAGGGGATCGCAACCCACCGGCCATCTCTATATAGGCTCCGAACCCACGGCGGGAGCGCTGCTGCGCACCTAAGCACCGTCAGGGGATCGCAACCCACCGGCCATCTCTATATAGGATCCGAACCCACGGCGGGAGCGCTGCTGCGCACCCAAGCACCGCACTCTCCCGAGTGCGCCACAGGGCCAGCCCTGGACAGCACTTTTCTACAAATTGTCCTGTTTTATGAGTGTTATTGTAAACCTCAAATCCTTTTGAAAAGCAGGTGAAGTAATATTGCAAAGGAGGTGATAGCAGTGGATGGAGTGAGAAAGGGGAGACTGACTGGGACATGTCCTTGTCCTTGTCAGTCTGTCTTTTGTTTGTATAACTCACATACAAAACCCCTTGGTAAAGTATGTTTTCAGATTTCTTCATCCCAGGTGAGTAGTATTCTCATGGCTCGCCCCAGTCCCCAGAAAAACCTGTTCAGTTTTACTTTAGTTAAATTGGAAAGGATCTGATAAAACAATTCATACCACATTGCAAATGACTGATAACAACATTGTGTTCACCCCTCTCAGTGGGTATTTCCATTTTAACAGGGAACAATCCCTGAACCCAAAGGAATGAATCCCTAATGGTGGAGTTTCAGGCATCAGTGATAGGTGAGTGAGAGGTAGACTCTGGTTTTGTATGTATGTGTGTTTATATATGTGTTACTACATGCAGGATGTGGCTGAAAGTAGGGTCTTTGGATGGAAAGGTAATGGAGACAAGCTGAGCAGAGAATGTAGAAAATCCTGAGTGGGGTCAGACACTGAGGGCTGTGAGACACCCACCAGATCCAGTGCAGGCCCTTGGGTTTGTTAAGCAATAAAATAGTTCAGTTGATGTCACCAGAGGGTAGTCATCAAGACAGTCTCCATGGTAACTACTATGGAGTAGCAGAAAGAGTCTCAGAGTAGGATTCAGGAGACAGCTGACTCATTGGTTTAACTCTGGGCAAGTCCTTTTACCCCTTGGGTCTCAGTTTCTTTATCTGGAAAATAGAAATGGGTGTTAAAACTACCAAACGAGTTCTAAGAGATGTGAAGGTGTTCTGAGAAGTAGAAAGTACCCTACAAATGCAAGAAATAGTGACTAATATCCTAAAATGGAAATGCATCTAGACAGGTTTAGAGTAGTGGAGGGTAGAAAGCAGAGGTTGGAGGGCTATGGGGAAACCTAAGGGCCAATGCACCATCCATCCTTTTCTGTCCTCCTAGGCTGAACCTGGACTCCCAGGGCACATGCTTGCACCTGATGAATGATGGCCTGAACTATGAGCAAACGGGACTATATGAACACTTCGGTGCAGGAACCCCCTCTTGACTATTCCTTCAGAAGCATCCATGTCATCCAAGGTCAGCCCACAGAGCACACAGCACTCCACTCACCTTGGCAGCAGGCCTAGTGTGGTCCCTAGGGAGAAAATAGTCTTCTACTTAGCCTAAAGAGATTATTCCCACATGCTTGCAGATTTGTTGTTGTTGTCTTGGGGGGGGCGGGGGGGCGGGAGTTTAAGCAGCAAATCTGAAAGGAACCGGGGGGCTCTCAGGGTAGTTGGTCATCTTCAAAAGAAAGCAGGCTACAGCAGGAAAGTCAGGTAGCAGAAAATTAGAAAGCCAATCTATCAGCCAATAGTTTTTATTTTCCTGTTTTTACCTGAAGAGAGGAGGAAACTAGTGAAAAGAAAACACAGGCTGCTGCAGAGTTCCAGCAAGTAGGCAGAACCCCATCTCCTCTGTTTGGGGACACAAACCTGTTCTGATCACTGGTAAAACTGGTAATGAGGGGTCTTATTATCAACAAACTGGTATGTTTCCAGTTTAAATATTTATTGACAAAAAAATATTTTTTTTTGACAGCTGGGATCGAACCCTAGACCTTGGTGTTATCAACATCACACTCTAACCAGCTGAGCTAACTGACCAGCCCTACTGACAAATTTCTTACCTTCATTCCAACCATATTCAAGTTTATTCCATCATCACCCACACTTGCAGGTTCCAACACTGCTCACACTCATCCCCATTTTACCACTCAATGTCTTTGTAAATGGCAAAATCTGGCTGAGTAGTTAAGTTTATCTACTTGCTACTCTCCTGGTGCCAGAGTGCTTTAACACCTGTGTGCTAATTTATGTAGGGTCCCTGGATCCTCCAGTCTTTCATTTGTCTTAAAGGGGATGTTTGTCTTTTTTTCGTGACCGGCAACGGATCGCAACCCTCAGTGTCACGCCCCTACCGGAACTGGCAACGGGATCGCAACCCTCGGTGTTGCGCCCGCACCTCGCTCAGCCAGTGAGCGGCCGGTCTGTATGTGGGATCCGAACCCTCGGCAGGAGCACACCGGGCCAGCCCAAGGGGATGTTTGTCTTAACAGGACATGCCTTTCCTTGGGTAACTACCCTGGGATAATTTCCCAGGGGGAAGGGGAAATTTATGTCTATGTCCAGCATTTACCCTACAGGTCTTCTCTCTCAGGCAGTTGGTTCAGGAAGCTGGTGAATGGAACTAGCCTCGGCTTGGGTTTAGGGCACTTACTTGGGTTAGCATCACCCACAGTAGTAACTTGTTTGTTCTCTCAGGAGTACACGCACTGCATTACTTCTGGTTGACGTAGTCCATGTTTCACAAGGGTTTTAGCTGCAATAATAATCTGTATACGAGATAGCTGACGTGACAGACAGGAGGGAAGTATGGCTCCTACCTATCATGGGAATTCCCAACTTTGAGGGAGGAGATGTAGTTCTGTCCTAAATAGTTCTGTCCTCTCTGGAGTCCTCAGAATGAGAAGAGACAAGCTACTAATGCCAAGGGTAGCTCTACAGCACAAAAAAGCTGTATAGATGTCTTGTCCTTCATTCTATTAAGCACTTATATACATATATATGTAAATGTGTGTAAATGTTTGTTAGTGTACGTGTATACATACGAGGGTACTTCAAAAAGTTTGTGGAAAAATAGAATTGAAAGATAATATTTTAAAAGAATTAGAACAACATTTTGAAATAACCTCTCATATGCCAGGCATTGTGCTCCTTGCTAAATGTGTATGGGGGGCAGTGCAGGGAGACACATCAAAGCCCCAAAAGGCCAGAGTCCCTTCAAGTTCCCCAGAGCTTCTGAAACATTTATAGCTGGGATTAGAGGACAGGGTAGAGTTTGGGGGTACTTGGCACACTATTTACTGAATTAATCAATAGATGGATCACAAGATCTGAAATGGCAGTGACTTTATCATTTATTATTTTTTCATTGTGACATAGTTGATTGTACATATCTGTGGGGTAACAGTTGAGTATCATTACCTATATGGCAGTGACTTTAGAAGGCATCTAATCTGTACCATCTCCAACCCAATAGTCCTCTTACTTTTGCTCACAAATTTAGTATTAAGGGAGTCCCCCACTATACACACCCACCAACCCCTTCCATTATGGGGCTGAAGGATGATTCAAGGAAATTCTTCATGTCAAACTGACTCCTGCCTTCTGGAGACACATGAAAAAAGTTACATTGCAGCCCTTCAGAGATGGGAAGACAGGGTTTACTTAGGTCTTTCTGGAGCTAAACACCCCCCCGTTTTCTGAGCATTGATATTCATGGTCCATTTTCCAGACGTGCGTTGGCCTACTAAGGCAGCTTTAATAGATTCTCAGGCATGTAGCACCTTCGTGCAATCTGGGGGGAGTAGTAGCCTGCTGCAGCCTGGACACCCCACTCCACCCTTGATTACAGCAGATGCAGGCAGTCTCAAGTTTTAGGCAACTCCATCTCACTAGTGGCTCCTTTTGAGCTTGGGATCAGCCTATACTTGGTGACATTCCCAAACCGCAGCTTTATCAGACTGGGAACAAGTTCATGTGGGTTATTTTGACATTAATTTTTATTCATCTGTCATTTCATTTCAAGAGGTGTGGGGAGGGAGACAGGATTAGAAGCTTATTCATGAGCTGGAGTACTCTGCTCCAGTACCCTTCTGCCACTTCCTGCAACCTCAGGCCCCACTTGTGGGTCCTGCTCACTCCAGCACAAAGGCAGAGAGCCATCTGGTGGATGCTGCCTGACTTTGCAGCTGAGGAGCAGAGGAAGTTAATGTTAGGTGGGGGTGGAAGGAAAAAGCTTGTCCAGTAAGAGCTGAAGGGAGACAGAGGACAAGCTGGCTAGGTTCCGCAAATACTGAATACTTCCTTCCCCAGAGGCAGCTACCAGAGGCTTAGAGACAATGGGAAAAATATAGTCACCAGACCAGGTATCTGGTTCTGGTTCTGACATTGACTGTGAGCATGGGCAAGGCCCATCCTCTTTCTGGACATCCTTTAAGTAAAGAAGCAGGTATGGGGGGTGTTCCACACAGATGGGTTCCAACATGTCCCTATTGCCTCTTCTCTCTCCTCCTCAACCAAACTTTCTGAGGGTGTTGTTTATGCTACCTGCTTATATTTTCTTATCTCCCATTCACTCTGGAATTCATTTCTGCCTCCGACCCTTGCCATTCCATTGAAAACAGCCCTTACCAAGGTTGCCAGGGACTTCAGTTGCCAAAATTACTTTTCAGTCTTTATCTCCTGGGAACTTACTCCTATAAATTATCAGCTCCCTGAGCATCTTTAAAACCGTTCTTTCCTGGTTCTTCCTGTCCTTCCCTGATTATTCATTAACTTCTTTAATGGATTGTGTTCTTCCTTGAACCTCCTCTCTACCCTCACCCTCCCTCAGCAATCTCATCAATTTCCCGAATTTGTATACCTTCTATGCTAATGATTCTCAAGTCTGCTTCATACCTTCAGCTTCAGACCTTCATATCCAACTGCCCACTTGGCTTCTCTACCTTTTTGTACAATAGGAACCTCAAACACACCAAGGCCGAGTCTGAACTCATTACCTTCCCAACCCTGTTTCTCCTTTTGTAACTCTTTATCAGTTAATAGAACTGGCATCTGCCCAGTCAACCAAACAAAAAACTGGGCACCACCCTTGAATATTCTTCTACCTTTATACCCAATAAACCAAGTCATGGTGATTGTACATCCCTCTCATCTCTCGCTTGGACGATAGGAATCACCAAATTGGTTTTTTGGTCCTACCCACTCCCTAAAATCTATATTCAACACTGAAGCTTCAGAGTGACCATTATGAAAGGAAAAATGTGAATCATCTCCTTTGCTTTAAACACTCCAGGGTCCTCCCGTCACCTACAGGATAAAGCTAAAGATCCTGACACTGAAGACTTTTATGACTGGGCTACTGTCTCCTTCTTCCTCATCCCCCTTGTGCTGCACATGCTCGTGTGTACAAGCACATATACACACCCATGCTGTTCTACACCTCTATTCCTGCTCATGCAGTCGCTATCCTTTCTACCCTTCTTTGCCTGGTTAAGATCTAATCCAGAGATCGAGCTCAGTCATCACTTTCCCTGGGAAACTTCTCTGAACTTCCAGACTAGGAGTCCCCCTTCTGTACTGCCACAAATATTATATTTATATGGCATTTAACACACTATATTGCCAGTTTCCATCTTGCCCACACAAGCTCCTCCAAGGCACAAATATCTGCTTAATTCCTGCCCTATTACTATACACAGCCTGGCATAGGGTCTCTCTCCTTTTGTTCACCATTGTATATCCAGTACCTGGCACATTGGAGGTGCTCAACATTAAGAGGAGGGAGGACATCAGAGTGTGTCCCACTGAAGTGAATTCTGTAGACTCTACCAGTGAATAATTCTGGACTTTGTGCTATCATCTTCTTGCTTCAAGCCCAACAACTCTGGTTCTTAGCTTCCTCATCTATAAAATAGGAGTCCTTTTGCCCCACCCCCACCCAGGGTGGTATACAGAGGACTCAGTGATACAATAGATGAGAAGAACATGTGACCTGGAAAGCCAAGAATTTGGGATGGGAAGTCTTTGCCCCTTGGTCCAAACTTACTCTGATTGCTAGAGCCTGAGAAGTGAGGTTACTCTAGACTCAAGCACAGGGCTATGGTCCTGCCAGCTCCCCCAGCTATAGGTGGGGCTGTTAATCTTTCGAGCTCTTTCCCTTCCCACCCCCTACAGCCAGAGAAGCAATGATATACCCAAGCCTCACTTTGTGCCCACAGATCTAGTGAATGAGGAGCCAAGGACAGGGCTACGACCACTGAAGCACTCAAAATCAGGGAAGTCACTGACCCAGTCTTTGTGGCTGAACAACAATGTCCTCAATGAACTGAGAGACTTCAACCAGGTGGTTTCACAGCTGCTGGCACACCCAGAGAACCTGGCCTGGATTGACCTGTCCTTCAATGACCTGACTTCCATTGACCCTGTGAGTTCCTGGCCCCAGGAGTCCAGCCCCCAGCCTCTCCACTCCCACATGTTATCAAGGAAGCAGTGAGGCAGTATGGTGCAGTCCAAAGCACATGGCTGTGGAGTCACACAGTCACAGAGCCAAAATTTGCCTCTCAGTTGTGACTTTGGGCAAGCTACCTAACCTCTCAAAACTTCACCCTTTCTGTCTGAAAAATGAGGATAATATGCCAGCATTATAAAGGTTTTGGGAGGACTAAATGAAAATATATGAAAACCAACTGGCATATTGGAGGTGGAAGTAGAATTGTAGCTGTCATTATTGGGCATCCACTGTGACTTGTGCTGAGTTCTGCTATGGCAGAGGTGGTAAAAGTACAGCACTTACTTTCTATGAACTCAGATTCGAGTTTTAAGAAATAAAGTTTGGTCCCTTCTTGTCCAGGATCCCTGTTAGAGAGGAAAGGAGCTGGAGCATGACTTGGAAACTGTTCCCCTGGTGTAGTGATCCCAATTTAACTAATATTTTTAAAGCTTTTATTATGTGTCTAGCATGATACTCTGTATTCCTGTCCCCCACTATGGTAGAATCATGATCACCAAAGCTGGGAGGGTCTTTAAAACTAAGGCTCAGGTAGAGGCAGGAGAGTCCAGTCACCTAGCAAGTCAGTGACATTGCTGGTACCCAGGCCCATACTTCTTGCCCCTCAGCTCACAGCTCGATTTCAGTGTGTTGCCCCTGTATGCCTTAAAAGGTAAATGAAAGTAGGTTAGAGTCATGCAACATGGCTGTGAGGGCTTGGAGTGGAGAGGAAATTGTTCCCTAAACTCTTTCTTCTCTGCCCGTGAGTCAATCTTGAGCACAGATCCAGGGTCCTGTCCAGCCTGGCTTTCGATTTCCTTCCTCAACAGGTCCTAACAACTTTCTTCAATCTGAGTGTCCTCTATCTTCATGGCAACAGCATCCAGCGCCTAGGGGAGGTGAATAAGCTGGCTGTTCTCCCTCGGCTCCGGAGCCTGACACTTCATGGGAACCCCATAGAGGAAGAGAAGGGGTATAGGTAAGTGCCCTGACTCTAGAGCTGGAGTCCAGCTGGGCTCCTCTGAGGGAAAGGGGGAGGGGAGACAAGAAATTTAAGACCATTCTTCTGCCATGCTTGGACCTGGGAAACGAGTAGCAGACCTTTAAAGCATTTCTTGCTATCAGTCATGATAAACCTAGTCTCCCCCAAATTATACTCAAGTCCCTCCATGCCTTGCACTCAGGGGAAATAGCAACTGGTGGCAGGAGAAGGGGATTCTCATGGGGGGGCTGGCCCCCAGCCCAAGTCTTCCCCACAGGCAATATGTGCTGTGCACCCTGCCCCGTATCACCACGTTTGACTTCAGCGGGGTCACCAAAGCAGACCGCACCACAGCTGAAGTCTGGAAACGCAGGAACATCAAGCCGAAGAAGGCCCGGATCAAGCAGAATGCACTCTGAGGTTCCCAGGACCGCAGATGTCCTAAAGGCCTGAGGATGGTCAGCAGGGTTCCCAATAAATGATTTGAGCCATTCAGCAGATTAGAAGTCACTTGTACTTTGTAGAGATGCCCTTCAACTGAAGCAAATGTCCATAGCTCTAGTCTTACTTCACTGAGAAAGGGAAGCTGTGGAGGGAAAGGACTGCTGGGATGGGACTGGGAGATCTGGGCTTACCGCATGGCCTTGAGAAACTTATTTAGCCTCTCTGAGTCCCTCTGTGCTCTTCCTGGGGTTAGGGTACATCAGTAGTTTACAAACTCTTCACAGAGTACCTACCAGGGTCTGTGGAGATGCCTCAGAGGCTTCCATGACAGGCCAAAAAGATAGGCTATGATCTCTGAACCTCCCCACTTCAGTCAGTTCAGAGTAGTTGCACTCTTATGTTTTATATTTTGGGATTCTGCTTAAGATTTCATTTGATAAGAATCTTCTGCTTAAAAATATTTGCTTGCTGACTCCATACCAGGTGTTCCCAGCAGAGCCTGCTCTGCCCCTCACCATCCCCTGCTTGTCTTCCCCCACTGCCGGGGCTGTTGGTAATTCCATTTAGCCTGAGGCAGGGCCCCCAACAGTCACCTCTGCTGCAGATTCAAGTCTGCTCAGCTCTGACAGTGTTGTTATCACTGGAGAAGGAAAAGACAGTCTTACCCAATCTGAGGTTAGCCCAGGCCAAGCCTCAGATAAGAATTGGGAACACTGAACCCTCATCTCCTGGATTTCTCTTTAATGCCCCTAGAAGATGCCCCTCTTCCCCCATCTCATTGTTCAGGGTAGGTGGAAGCAAGTAGTAGGGTGGTGGGCAGGACAGAGGGGCTGGAACCAGCACACAAATGAATATTCTTCCTTTATCAAGGGTGACAAACCAAAACAAAAAAAAAAGACCAGATTTGTAAAAACCCAGGGTGCTAGAAATACAAACTCAATTCATTCAAATTCAAGCTCGTCCAGACCCCAGTCACAAACCCTAGTGAGGTGCATGTGAGTCAGGGAGAGGGGGACAGGAGTGAATCTGAGGCCAAGAGAAAGGGTGGGAAGGGGATCCCTCTGGGTCCCCTGGTGATCACCCCCCATAGTGGTATCTCCACCTTCCCAATGACTGTGAAGACATACTGGGCCCTGTCCTTTTGGCCCCCACCCCACCCCTGGCCAGGGCTTCAAAGGCCAGTCCCGAACAGTTCTACCCTCCCTTGCTCCATCCTCATTTGCTCAGGCTCCCAGCCTCACTCTTCTCCTTCTCCACATTCTTCTCTGTGATTAGTAGCAGGTTAGGGTACTGTATAAGCCACAGTGAGGCTGGGGGCCAGGAAGGCAGGGTGGAGATGGGTGAAGAGAGGAGAAGAGCTGTCCAAGGACCCCTCTCTTCATGGGATCCCAAACTGTACAACCAGCTCCTCTTTTGCGTCCACACGGATCTGAGAAAGTGCACTGTAGGCATAAGCAGCTATCCTGGAGACCTGAGACGGGGCAGGCCCATACTTCTTGCCCCTCAGCTCACAGCTCGATTTCAGTGTGTTGCCCCTGTATGCCTTAAAAGGTAAATGAAAGTAGGTTAGAGTCATGCAACATGGCTGTGAGGGCTTGGAGTGGAGAGGAAATTGTTCCCTAAACTCTTTCTTCTCTGCCCGTGAGTCAATCTTGAGCACAGAAGATCAGGAAAGAGGGAATGTGGGATTGGATGGCGATGAAGGAGAGAGGAGGGAATGATGGGGGATAGGAAGCCAAAGAGAAAGACAGGGATGGAAAAGAATAAAGGGCAGAGAAAGAATAAAGGTTGGAAGGAAGAGATAGGGAGGATATAAAAATAGAGTGAGGTAGGAGGGAGCCGGGGCCCACAGGCTACCAGGCTCCTTAATTCCATTTCCCCACCTCCTTTGAGGCAGGACAGGTGAACCCTTCTGCCACACTCTACGCAGTGTAGGAAGGGAGGGTGGGGGCGGGTGAGGGGTGGCTCACCTGCTGCAAGTCGGAGAAGGGGATGGGCTCGCTGGCCAGCACTTGGTGGGGCTGGCTGGTGAGAGACGGCAGTGGTGGCAGCTTCTTCCAATGGGTCAGGCTGCTGCTCAGCACAGCCAGGCGGGTGCTGGCCAAGAGGGAGGGGTTGGAGGGAGGGCAGTTAGGCCAAGGTCTGCCCTGCCCTGCCCAGCCCAGACCAGCCAGGCAAGCACAACTCCCCCAGGCCAGAGAAGCAGGGTAAGAGGGGGTCTCGGCTCATCACAAACTCACTCTAGACCCTTCTCCCTTGGCCTTATCACCCTCGAGAGTGTCATAAGGCAAACAGCTAACAACATCTTCTGAGACACTCAAGTGATTTGTGATCCATCTCCTGGGCTGCACCCAACTGAAAAGGCTTGACTGGGGCCCAGGCTCCAAAGCCGGAACAGGAATGGAGATGGGGAGAGAAGCCCAGGTAGCCTGAGGGAGCCAGGCTGCCACGTGCTCACCTGTACTGCCTTGCCCGGTCCATGTATTCATGCTGCTCCATGCCCTGGGAGTCTGCAGCAGACACATCAATGATGTTGCTTTGGGGAGAGGAGACAGAGAGGACATGACTGGTGCTTCTGAGAGGGACAAACAGGACTTGGTGCCAGGCACCAACTCCAGGGCTATCTGACACTAATTTCCCTGTCTGACCACTGGAGCAGGGTGGGGTTCAGAGGCACCTTTCCCAATGACCTTGTCTCATTCTGCACGTCCTGGGCCCAGTTCCCTTTATCCAAGTCTTTAAAATGGATGAAGGAGCTCTGCCCCTGGCTTGGTCCTGTGACTCTCACCTGGCTGTCTTGGCGAGGATGGAGGAGAGCAGGGCCTGCTCATCTGTCCGAGTGGAAGGCAGGCTGTGGTAATTGGGCTCAGCTCCATTGAGGGCTTTGGTGGGGGGGCTGCTAGGGTCCAGCAGCAGCTTCCGCTCCTCTCGGTCCTAGTAGAGACCACAGGGGAGAAGTCAGCCCTAGAACCCGTAGTCCAACCTGCCTTTCCTGGCGCTCTCCCCTCAACCCAGCTCTGACCTTTATCAGCTTTTTTTTTTAAAAAAGATGACCGGTAAGGGGATCTTAACCCTTGACTTGGTGCTGTCAGCACCACGCTCAGCCAGTGAGCGAACCGGCCATCCCTATATGGGATGTGAACCCGGGGCCTTGGTGTTATCAGCACCACACTCTCCCGAGTGAGCCACGGGCTGGCCCAACCCAGCTCTGACCTTTAAACACCGATAATATTTTTAAAAGGAATATCAAAAATGCCCAACTCAATGAAATGTCAGATAAGACTCAGTTCCTGCCTGCCGTTGGGAGCTTAGCTAAGTTGGTGGCCTGGGATGAACTAGAGTGGAACCAAGCAGTCCTAGAGGCCCTGATTGGACAGAGACACAAAGCAGGTATTCAGCAACAGCCCTGGAGCTTCAGAAAACAGTCCAGCACCCAGCGGAAAAAGGATACTGGGGGCTGGAAGAGGAAATACCAAAACAGTAGGATCTAGAGGAGAAATCAGTGCAAGTCAGGAGCCAAGGAATGGCCCTCCTGATCCCCCAGGACCCGGCCCTCTCCAGAAAGGCTGTCTGCTCCCAAGATGGAGAGGCCCCAGTGAATCCAGACAAGGCCCTAGGCCCCAAATGAAAGCAAGCCCAACCTCTCAATGGCCCTTCAAATTATCTCAAGGCAGGAATCTCAGCCCAGCCTCTGGTTGACACAGTCCAAATGTGCTCCTTTCTTGAAGGCAGGTCCTTTCTTTCTACTCTCAGGTGTTCACCCTCCTGTCCTCTGGTACGCTTTCTGCATGTGTCTCCCAGAACCAAAATGAGTGCACCTGGTGTATCCTGACCTGAGCTGAACAGTGGAGCTTTCCCTACTTTGCCAAGCCACTACACCTCTTTTAATATGGCCTGAGCAGCCTCCTTGATTTTCAGCAGTCCTGTTACTGCTAGCCTACACTGATAATCCCAACCCTCAGAACTGACCCACGACAAACCATGTCTCCCTAATTCTGTATAATTTTATTTCTCCTTGTCTTGTTTCAGTCCCTTGTTCTAATCTACTGTAATCTTTCTGGATTCAGCCCTGCCTTGAACCCATCAGCTGCAAATCCCTGCTAGCTTTGTGTCAGCTGCAAATTAGATAAGCAAACCTACTTGATATCTATCTAAGCCATAAAGAGCAAGGGTGCCCAGGACAAAGCCAAGGACTCGGGGGTGGGGGGTGTCCTGCCTAATGCTGACTCACCATCCCTTGGTGCAAGACCACCAGACTCCTCAATGCTCCCCTCCAGACCTACCTTAGTTCCTACCACAGACTATCCTGCTGAAGGCTCCACAGACTATCCTGCTGCAGGCTCCAGCTCCTCTGCTCACAATTCCACAACTCTCCTTACAGTGGGCCACTTCCTTCTGCCCTGCCTGCCCCACCCTAGGCAGGCCCAGCCTTTTCACATTACCCTTCCTTCTAAAGCCTAGGTTGCCCAAGTGTCCTCAGGCAATTTGATCCACTTCCCAACAGCATGAGACAGAACTGTGGGCTTCTGTCCCATCACCTCTAAACTCCCAGAACCCTCCCCATTCCCTAAAACACAGGCTCAGTATCAAAGAGCTAGAAAGACAAAATGCTTGCCAAAGAGCAAATATCCCTAAGGAAAGCTGGCTCCATAATGAGGCCCAAGTTTGCTTTCTATATATCTGTCTTTCCCCCAGCCACACTTCAGATAGATCTTCCTGCAGGACAGGGCAGGCACTTTCTCCCCTATCGGGAGTTCTTCAAGAACAAGATTTTGAAGCAGAGGAGAGAAGGGAAACAGAAACAAAAACAAGGTTGTTTTTCCAAAACCTAGACTCCCAGAAGCCATGCAACCCTTTCAGACTGGACAAATAACATCACCCCACCCCCAAAGGGTGAGTGGAGCATGGGATAGGTTTGTCACACTAAGGTTTGTCTCTGAGTCAGTGTAATCCGAGAGTCAGGGTTTCACTGTCTACACTAGCACAGACACAGCACAGGTCTATGAGTATGGCTGGAAGGGACAGCTTGGGCCAACAGACAGAGCACATGGCTTGGCATCAAAACACCTTGGCTAGGGCCGGCCCGTGGCTCACTTGGGAGAGTGTGGTGCTGATGACACCAAGGCCAAGGGTTCAGATCCCTATATAGGGATGGCTGGTTCGCTCACTTGGGAGAGCATGGTGCTGACAACACCAAGCCAAGGGTTAAGATCCCCTTACCGGTCATCTTTTAAAAACAACAACAACAAAAAAAAACACCTTGGCTAAAAACAAACAAAAAAACACCTTGGCTATGGCACATCTCAGCTTGGCTACATCACTTAGCCTTTCTAAACTTTTTCCTCATCTTTAAATAGATGTAACCTCTGTCTATATGACAGATGTTTGGCAAGAATTGAGTGATAACTATAAAAGCCCTTGAAAACTGTGATACTGTACATTGCTTTTTATTATTACAATAAACAGGCAAAGATGAGAGTGGGCAAGGGGACTGCCCAAGAACTGACAAAGGGACTCTGGGGTGGCGAATGGTTATGGTCTTTGCCACGAGGCCTCAAATCACCCAGCACTGATCAAGCACCTTCTCTGGGGGTTAGTAACAGAAATAAGAGCCCCTCAAGGGGAAGGTGGAGATTCAGGAGAGCAGCAAGCCCAGCTCTCCCTTCCAGCTAGAAGCTGGTACCCTTTCTCATAAGGCATTAACTCTTATTTACCCATTCCCTGTAAGAATCCATATTCTGCTTTAACGGACAATTTCCCACTAGGCCACAGCTCTCCCAGTGAACAGGGATATTGTCTCCTCTAACAGGCTGGGGTGAAGTGCGAGGTATTGGGCATGAGGCATGCCTAACACTGAGCATAGGAAATATGGAAATGTGTTCACTGGGTGTTTGGACAGTTGAGGACCAGGAGCCAACCATGCCTCACATACAAATGACATTTTCCTGAGGCTGAACTCAATCCAAAATACCTTCACTGGGGAAAGAACTACAGTACTTCCGAGTTCCAGTGATATAATCTATTTCTGTGACCATCTCCCACTCCACTAGCCTGTGAGCTATTTGATGAAATCTTTCTATTCTGTGGCTGCTATGTGTGAAATGTAGAAGCCAGGCTTAGAGGCAATCAAAAAAAGTGAGTGGCCAGCAGCTTGAGACTTCAACCTTCGAAAGGTTTCCCCTCCTCAAAGGTGGCCAGGCCAGGCAGGGCAGGGATTAAAGTGTGGTGAGAAATGAAAATGCAGCAAGGGAAAGAGGGAGAACTTAAAAATGCACAGGTCTCCCCAACCTAATCCTTTCTCCAAAAGGATCAGATCTACAGCCAAATTCTCAGGATTGGTACCCCTCTAGCCAGAGAAATCCTCAGCCCCAGGCAGGGACTGCCCTGAGGCCAAACTCAGAACAAAATGTGAACTCCCATCCGCTCTCTCTTTTCCCCAAATCCAGCCAAAGCTAAACCAGATTTGTTGCTTCTCAAACACTTTCCACACATCCCAATACCCTCATTCCATTTCTATTAAATGCTTCATTGGCCAATTCAAATAACACCAACTTCCAGAGTCTTTCTATGACCCCAGACCAGAAGTGACCTTCCTTCTCCAACCCCAGAACCTGAGGATACACAAATTCCTGATTCATCTCGGGACTAATTCAGAGCCTCAGCTTACCCACCTTTATAATGGATTCACAAAGCCCGCTAATACAAGCAAGAGAAGGCACAGGAAGCCGGGAAGGGAGTGCTTCCCACCGACCTAGGCCGAGGGCCCTCGAAGCTGTAAAGGTTTGAAGGTAAGGGGAGAGAAAGGGGTGGAGCCGAACCAGACAGACAGCTGCCTGCACACCCTAAGGCGGGGATGGTGTAGAGACCTGGGGCTTTAACAGGTAGGAGCCCACCTCGGCGGCCCCTCTGTAATCTGTCCCATGCAGGCCTCCGTACTCAATGAACCCTCCTCTGCAGTTTCTGGGCCCATACCCCAGGGTCTGAGCTCATAGTCCCCAGCCCCGCCTGCCGCGGCCGCACCTGGTCCGAGTCCTCGTTCTCGCTGCTGTAGCAGCACCCCATGGCCGGGGTCGGGCCGGGCGCTCAGGCGGCGCCGAGGAGGGACGGCGTCCGTCAGGAGCCCTTCCCGTCACGTGACCCGTAGCTGCCTTCCGCAAGCAACCGCCCGCCCCCTTTCCCTGTCTCCCTAGTCCCAGAGCTACTTCGCAGCCGCTGCCGAAACTCCGGCTTCCGGCCCCACCTCTACCGCGTGATTATTACCAGCCAATAGGAAGGCGCACCCTGCGAGAAGAGACACGTGACGCGAGGACAGGGAGAAGGATCACATGACTTCATCATCTGACCAGTCTCTAAGATTGAATTCTCTTTACCGCCTGTCGTAGTGACCCTCATGTTAGTCGCTGCCACCTTCCTGGTTCAGTGAGCGAACTCATACCAAATGCTGTCATGATATACTATTCTAAACGCCATGCGAGGGAAATCCAGGCCCAACGCTCCCAGAGTTTACAGTCTGGGTGCACACACATAGGCCCCGGAAGATCAGCGCCCAGTCGGGGACACGTAGAGGGTGTAGCGCCCAGTGGAGTTCTCAGCCTGGGCTGGGGATCTGCGACTTACAGAAGGGACCATATACCTTCACAAGCTGAAGCGGAGTGAAGATCAATCCTGGTAGAGGAGATAGAGGCCACCTCGCTGACCTCCTCGCCCACAGGCATTTCTCTTCAATTCTGCCTTTTGACAGCAGCTATAGTAATCTAACATACAAAGCTGACCATAAATTCTCTTTTCCTAAAACCCTCCTTTGTCTTCCATTGGGCCCTGAACACAGGTCTAACTCTGTCATTCAAGATGGTGCAGTGCTTGACACCTGCCTCCCACAGCATATTATGGGATCGGTGGGTGGGGGTGTGTGTGTGTGGGGTTGCGTCACCAGGGAAATACTTGCAGTTTCCCGATTGACCTCTTGGACTTACATGCACACTGTCTCCCCACCAGGTCTGCCTGCTGTCTTTGACTCTATACAAGTAATATTCTCCTGTTTGTCTTCTCTGACCTCATTCTCTGCGCATCTCCAGCTCCCTGTGCTTAATCCTGTTCCAGTGTTGATTGACTGATTCATTCATTCAGGCAGCTATTTATTTATTTATTTATTTATTTAGGCAGCTGACCGGTGCAGGGAGCCAAACCCTTGACCTTGGTGTCCATTCATTTATCGAATCCACAAATACTTTGAGTGTATACTAGATGCCACACACTGTTCTGTCTGGACATGCAGCAATTCACAAAACAGCTAAAAGTCCCTGTACTCATGAAACATCCATCTAGTGATCACACTATATGAGAGGTCTACAAAAAGTTCACGGAAAGATTGTATTATCTTTTTTTTTTTTTTTTTTTTTAAAAGATGACCGGTAAGGGGATCTCAACCCTTGGCCTGGTGTTGTCAGCACCACGCTCAGCCAGTGAGCAAACCGGCCATCCCTATATAGGATCCGAACCCGGGGCCTTGGTGTTATCAGCACCGCACTCTACCGAGTGAGCCACGGGCCGGCCCCTTGTATTATCTTTTAAATCCTTTTTTGACAAAGTTTTAAAAGTACCCTCATATCGTATTCTCTGTTCCTGGGTCAGTCTCTTCTACCAAACTTGGACTTCCTGGACAACAGGGACAGGTTCTGACTCCTCTTATGACCCAAGCCATGACACTTGCTCAGAGAAAACTTGAATTTAGAATTAATGAGTAAATTATAGTCTCCCCATCAACTTGGTTCACATCATGCCTCATGTCCTGATCCAAGCGGTTGAAGGAGAGGTTACCAGACCTAGTAGCTCTTATTATCCCTCAAATCAAGACCCTGGGGTTCTGCAAGTTTTTTGAAGGCTTCTGATGGGTAGGAGGCAGCTCCAGCTTTTGTCTGGAACTGGTAACTTGAACTGCAGGTCTCAGGTGACAGCAGCAGCCTCAGCATCAATAATTGAAAGCAAGTCCAGCTTCTTGCCTCAGGGATATCCTCCCCAAGGTCTCCCCCTCCTGTCCTGTGCTCTGGTCTTCCCTAAGCAGGAGCCTTCAGCCTAGGTAAGCAGGGCCCTTGAGTGTGGGTTCCCAAGCATACCAGTTCAAGCCCCCGCATCACTCACCTAATTCATACCCATTCAAACACTCTCTTACTTTCATTTCTAGTCACCACCACAACCACCGGGGCCTTGCAAGGAGGTCAGGTCTGGAGAAGGGGGTGGATGGTCCAGGACATGGGAGAGTAGAGAGCACCCATGCCTATAGGGGGCCCTGGAGAAGAGGGCTGAGGGAGAGGGGGTACTGTGTGTTATGTGTATGTATATGCTTGTGAAAGGAATTCTGAGAGAGAACAGGGGAAATGGGGAACACAGGAGAGAGGAGATCAGACTTGAGAATATAGAATAAGACTCCTCCCACCTCCACGGATGAGCAGAGGGAGAGTCCTGGAGTGGGGAAAAGGACACTTCACCCTAACATATGGAGTATTTTGATAAGAGTAGAGAGCACCCATGCCTATAGGGGGCCCTGGAGAAGAGGGCTGAGGGAGAGGGGGTACTGTGTGTTAAGTGTATGTATATGCTTGTGAAAGGAATTCTGAGAGAGAACAGGGGAAATGGGGAACACAGGAGAGAGGAGATCAGACTTGAGAATATAGAACAAGGACTCCTCCCACCTCCACGGATGAACAGAGGGAGAGTCCTGGAGTGGGGAAAAGGACACTTCACCCTAACATATGGAGTATTTTGATTGCCTTTTACTGAGGCAGAGCACAATGACAGTGAAGGGGTTTCTGACCACAAAGCTATGCTCTTTTGCTACACAGTAATGGGTCAGAGGAGACCAAGCAGATCAGGGGATAGAGTGGGGGGAGGATATCTCAGAGAAAAACTGGTGAAAGAGGTTCTGAAGAAGGGGTGACTTCAGAGATGAGGGGGAGCAGCGTGAACATGGGACCAGGGGTCGGACTGGCAAGAGGTAGTTTGGGGCTGGATGCTGAACATGGACAGTATGGAGTCCTTGAAACTACATTGGCTTGGAATCATACCAACCTGGATTCAAATTCCAGGTCTGCTGTGTGACTCTGGACAAAAGACTTAGCCCTTCTGAGCTGTCGTTTGTAAAGTATAAGAATAGTAATTGCTACTGGTAAAGGCTGTACAAATGACAGGCAAATGGTGGGTGTGGGTTTCCCTCCCTGCTTCCCTCCACTCCAGGACCCAGGTAGGGACCAAAGGGCAAAGCCAGCCACATATACAAATGTGGACTGAAGGAATGAAACAGATGGTTGACTCTGGGCAGTTATTTAGGATGGCTGTGATACAGGCTAAAGGTAGGAAGAGTTGAGAGCTGAAGTTGGAAAGACTGGATAGGAACAGGTCCAAGAAGGTCCTGAGGATCCCAAAGTCAATCCCAAAGGCCTTTAGAATTAAAGGAGCCAGGGAGCAGTAGGGTCAGATTTGTTAGAAAGATTCCTAGTGGCTGATGTGAAGACTAGACTGGAGGAGGCAGGGAACCAGTGGGGCAGCTGGGGTTATGGTCCAAGAGAGAGATGAGACCCCAGCTGGTTGGGGGCTGCAGTGAGGCAAGTGGGCATTTGAGATCTCTTTCTATCAGGGGCCTGGCATCCATCTCCCATGTCTTTTGCAACAGTCATCTCTCCCCATAGGTCAGATCCTGATGCGGCTGGTGGAGGAGAAGGCCCCTGCTTGTGTGCTGGAGCTGGGCACCTACTGCGGATACTCCACATTGCTTATCGCCCGTGTCCTGCCCCCTGGGAGTCGCATTCTCACTGTGGAACGGGACCCACACACAGCAGCAGTGGCTGAAAAACTCATCCGCCTTGCTGGCTTCGACGAGCGCACGGTCAGCCTTCCCATCTTCCCAACCCTGATATCTTCTCTATCACCCCAGGCCTTGCCGTGTAGGTACTCCCATCTAAGGATAAGGAAGCAGCCACACTCAGGGGACTGTGATCCTGGATGGTGTGTGAGCTGGATCACTGAAAAAGCAGCTAAGAGGAAAATCTCTGGAGCCTAGCAAATCTGGGTCCAAATCTGTCTCTTGTTAGTTGTGTGACCTTGGGCAAAACACATATCTTCTGAATCTTAGCTTTTTCATGGACAAAATGGAAATCATAATATTGATCTTGACTTCTTGCATTCTGAGGCCAGAAGAAATGTGAGAACACTCATGGGGACCTAGGCCAGGGCCTGGCATGAAGTAAGCCAATTCCTGGTGGGGTCTGGATTGGGAGAACAATCCCTCGCACCCTCACCCCCACAGGTGGAGCTCATCATGGGCAACTCAGAGGAAGTGATCCCAAGCCTACGAACCCAGCACCAGCTGAGTCAGGCAGACCTGGTACTCCTGGCACACCGGCCCCGATGTTATCTGCGGGATCTACAGCTGCTGGAGGCCCATGCTCTGCTGCCTCCCGGTGCCACTGTGCTGGCTGACCATGTTCTCTTCCCCGGTGCACCCCGCTTCCTGCAGTACGCCAAGAGCTGTGGCCGCTACCGCTGCCGCCTCCACCACACTGGCCTCCCAGACTTCCCTGCCATCAAGGACAGTATAGCCCAGCTCATCTATGCCGGACCTGGCTGAGGTCCAGGCCCAGGAGTACTAACTGATGCCCCCCTACCCCCACCCAAGCAAGGACCTCAGAACATCCCCTCCTCTTCCTGTTTGGGGCCTGACACATGCTGTTCTCAGGGCTGGGGAGGCTCTCTTTCCACTTCTCCCTTACTCCGGCCTTCATGCTGGCCTGAAGTGTCAAATTCTATCAGGCTGCTTGGTCCCACTGGTTCCCCTCCTTCTAGAGAGCCATGGACTTACAGCAAGAGGCCTGAGCTCCCAACCCAGCTTTGTCACTGATTTGCCTCTCTTCCCAAGCCCCATGCCATTCTGGGTGGGATCAGAGGAAACAGTAGACAATGGGTTAAAGGCCTTGTGCAATGGCTGGGTGCAAGCTGAGCCAGAGGAAATGTCACAGGAGCCTGGGCCCAGGGCCAGCAACACCCTGGCCTTCCCCAACCCTGGCCAATTAGGTTTGCCTGATGTCCCTTGAGTGCCCTCTCCCCAAAGCCCAAAAAGATGCTGGACTCCTCTGGGCCCCATCAACAAATAGGGAATAGACATGGGGGAAAAAAATCAATCCTGTGTCTTTATTGTATAGGTTTAGAAAGAGACCAGACCGGGCAACCAAGGGGTGAAGTACCGGCCAGGAAGGTGGGGTGGTGGGTTCAGGCCCTGGGGATTCAAGAGCAGATTGACGGCCTGGGAGGGACCAAGGAGACCAAGTCCTGTCAGCAGCTGAGGAGGTGCCTAAGGGTGAGCTTTCACTCACTAGGGCCATCAGCTGGTTCTGTGGGGCAAGGGGATGGGGGTGCAGGGTAGCTTGGGCTGGCCTGGAATCTCCCTGAGGCCACCCTGCTTTGTCTACCTAGATCATCCACTGGTCCTGATCCTGTTCGTTGCCTTCCATGTCCACCTGGAGAGGAGGCTGGGTGTGGGTGGGGAGGGGCCTCAGCCAGCCTCAGCCCCAGATTCTGCCCCTGGCTGGATCCAGGGTTCCTGTACCCATTGGCCGTCAATTAGGTCAGGAGCAGGGGCCCAGGAACAGAGGCCCACCCCAACACCCCCGCCTACCTCATTAACCTCTCCATCATCAGGTGACTCGTTGTAGTCATTCATCTCATCCATGTCCTGCATGTCCTCATCATCCTCTGAGTCCTCTTCACTATCCTCATCGTCTTCATCATCCTCCTCTTCCTCGTCATCATAGTGCTGGTGGGGCAGGGGAGAGCCTATAAGCCTTGCAGGCCTGCCTGGACCAGTTCAAGAGCTGGCTGGCTTGGAGCCTCTCTCCAGGGCCAATGAACGTCCACCACTAACTGACCCTGCCCCCCCTTGAGTCTAGTAGGCTGGTACATGTTCAGCAGGACCTTAGTATTAGGCCCAGTGCCTACCCCCTCTTAACTCCCCTTTCTGGCCTCTACCCAGACCTGAGAACAACTGCTCTGGGTCAGAGGCAGGACATTCAGAATTAAAGCAGCACTTTCATCCACCCTGGGCCCCACACAGGCCCCACCTGCTGGAGCCACTCACCTCTGAGGCTGGCTTGCCAATAGGTACCAGGTTGTTGTCTTTCTCTGCGATGCTTTGGAGCTGTGGGCAAAGTGGGGGGAGAGGAGCAGGGCCAGGGCCCAAGCAGGGAAGGTCAGGGGCATGGGAATGGCCACTCTGCCCTCAAGAAGAGCCCAAGTGTGGGGGGAGAAGCTTCCTTCCAGTTCTCAGGAAGATTCAGTCCCTATCATTTGCCTCTTACTTATGAACTTTATCAAACTACTTCAACTCCCTGGGCCTTGATTTTCTCATATAATTATGGTGAGGATGGAGTAAGAGACTTAGCCTAGAACATGGCATCTGCTAGGTCCTCAATAAATAGTCAAAAATATTATTTCCTATGCTTTAGTGAAAAGAGCTTGGGCTGACAGTCAAGAGCCTGGGCTCTAATCTGGCCCAGAAGTCCCATGGTCCCCCAACAAATTAGGACACACAAAGATGAGAACCTTGCTCCTTGGCTCCCAGCCTGATTATTCCCAGCTCAAGGCAAAAAGCTCTCCCAGTGCACATCTCCAGAGTAAGGCTGGGTCATGGCCCAGTTGGGGGTCGAAGGAAGGGAGGAGGTGTTGCTGTGCTGTGCTAGCTCCTCACTCACCCACGCCTGATGCTGCTGTTCCTGCTGCTGCAGCTCTGTCTCCTCCACACAGGGTCGATCCAGATTAAACCACAGTGTTTCAGTCACACGGGGGAAGAGTGAGGGGAACAAGGTGGACATGGCTCCTAGACTAAGGGAAAGGGTCAGGTGAATGAGTTTTGTTTTGTGTTTTAATTTGTTGTCATTTGATTTAGGGATAGCATGGAGTGGAAGGTAGAGTGAATGAGTTTTGTTTTGTTTTGTTTTGTGTTTTAATTTGTTGTCATTTGATTTAGGGATAGCATGGAGTGGAAGGTAGTAAGCAGGCAGCCCTGCCCTCTAGGAATTAGACAGTCATGGGTTTGAATCCTGGCTCCACCGCTTACTAGCTGTTTGACTTTGGCCAAGTCACTTAACCTCTCTGGACCTCAGTTTCCTCATCTGTAAAATGGAGATAATAACAATGATACCACCCTCAAAGTTATTCTGATACTTAAGTAAAGTAATGGGTAAATAAAGTTGTTTGTAGGCTGTTCAAAGAGGGAAGAGACTGGGAAAAGTGCACAGACAGGAAACCAGAATGCAGACTGGCATTACAAAATTACTCAAAATTATAGGTATCAGGGCTCTACTGAAATTATCTCAGTCTCCTACAAACACCGAAACCTACTTTTTGCCCCGTTATGATAGTCCTTACCACACCCACCCAATGTCAAAAACTTAGGACCTAACCACCTCTCTCACGAACCACAGCCAAATTGGGGGTGGAAGCGGGGGGGAGTACTACGTCTTATGATAGTCCTTACCACACCCACCCAATGTCAAAAACTTAGGACACTAACCACCTCTCTCACGAACCACAGCCAAATTGGGGGTGGAAGCGGGGGGGAGTACTACGTGCGAGCAAGGTTCGATAAGACATTCTAGATGGCATGAGTAAATGGATAACAGATGGAAGACTGAATGGATGATGTAAGAGGACAAGTAAAATCAGCTTTGAGCGGCTGAGGGAGCTGACCAGGAAGTTCTCAGAATCTGAATTGAACCGCTCAGCTGATACACAGGAAAACAGAAGCCCAGCGACTGGCAGAGACTGGCTTTAGGTTATAGTGAGTCGGGGCTTAGAACTCCCGCGGGGAAGTGATCCAGGCCGGGCACTAGATGAGATGAGCAGGAGAAAAGGATCTGTTTAATCCTGCTTTTGCCCTATCATTTGACCGACACAGGGCCAGGGCAGGCCGCTGCCCTTTCCAGCTCGCGTAACAGGAACAAAAGCATCAACCCTTGCGTCTCAGAAGAACTGACAGGCCAGAGATCTTGGCTCCGAAAACCCAACCCACCGCTCAAACCCACCGCCCATTCTCTGCTTGTTATGATAATGACGGAGCGGCTGACCAACAGGAAGAAGGCAGGGGCGGGACTCGGACAGGAGTTTGCCCTTATAGGGTCGCTATTCGCGAAAGGAGAGGAGCCTGAGGAGGGCCAATTAACTGAAAGAAATGCTGGGTGACAGGAAGTGACACCAATGAATGACGGATCTTGTGTGACGGGGTGGGGCTTAGTTTCGAGGAAGCGGCCAATGAGCTGTAGCTCTTTAACGGTAAAGGAGTCTGAATATGGAGCTCCTGAGGAGGCGGGTCAAAGGAACTGGGTTTCCTCTGCGGGAAGGAGGAAAGAAGGGGCAAAGAGACGGCCGCAGCATTGCTTCCATACTTACCGCGCCGGGAAGCGGCAGCCGGCGGCGACCCGGAAGCGCTTCACCCAATCTGAGCGGAAGAACCCACCAGAATCCGGGACTCACCAAACGCATGCGTCCTTGGTCTCCTTTTGTTTCCCGCTCCCGCCTACCACACCGGATGTGACGTTAGACACACCTTAGGTACGTTGTTGGGGAAGGAAATATGCCGCGCCTACCTATTTGCCCCTCCTTGAGTCTCAGCCAATCGTCTCCTCCAGCCTGGCCCCTCCACTACGGCCCTGTTTAACCCCGCCCCTCTGTCCTCAGGCAATATTTGCTCGCTAACCTTTTCTGGAACGAGGTCTGGAAGTGCCAATGCGTTCTAGGAAAGTTAATCTGCTTCTACCCCACAATCACTGGGTGATTTTACGCTCCTCCTGTTCGTCCCCTCTCAGCCTCAGTTTCCCGTTTGAGCACATTCGTCCTTTTGTATTCCTTGAGCTAAAATATTTGAGTTCCTACTATATTCCAGGCTCTGCTAGAAGTTGGAGATAAATCTATGAATATGGTCGCTGCCCCCAAAGACCTCACAGTCCAGGGGGAAGCCAGACCTTGTAGACCTGCAGCGGACTCACTGATCTCTTAAAGTTGCTTGTGCCGTTCTGACATTGGAGATTATAGACTGGCTTTAGTGACTAGTCGGCCTCAGGCACAGCATTCTGCTGCTGGGGAGCTCAGCTGCCCTTCCGAGGTCCGGGCCAAATCCCCTGAGAGGTCAGCTTCGTCACCTCTTCCACTCCTTTGCTAACGTCTGTGTTCTAGTAATCTCTGACTCAGCCTCCCCTTCGGAGATCCTCATGCCTCCTGGCAACAGAGGTCCTTCAAACCCAACGCCGTTAAGCTCCATCACCTACCAGCCTCTTCCAGGGCCAGCAATCATCCACGGTTTCACTCCTGTCTTGACTGATTGTGTGAACATTGGCAAGTCCTTTTCCTCTGTCTGGGCTCAGTTTCTCCTTCAGCCAGCATCATAATCTCTGCCCAGCCTTGCTCCTATACTGGGCTGATGTGAGGATTGGATGAGATAGCCGTTCAAGAGGTGGCATATTGAATGTTATTATGTTGTCAAGCAACTCTGCTTGTTATAAAGTTTTTTTATTAAAGAGTAAAATTTGCCACCTGGAAATGTCCACCCTTTGTATTCATTAATTCATTCATCAGTTCATTCAACAAATACCTACTGAGTGCCTTAGTATATGTCCATCACTATTCTCTTTTTTTTTTTTTTAAAGATGACCGGTAAGGGGATCTTAACCCTTGACTTGGTGTTGTCAGCACCACACTCACCCAGTGAGCTAACCGGCCATCCCTATATGGGATCCGAACCCATGGCCTTGGTGTTATCAGCACCGCACTCTCCCGAGTGAGCCACAGGCCGGCCCTGTCCATCACTATTCTAAGTAGCGGATATAGGATAGTGAAAGAAATAGACCAAAAAAAGTCCCTCTCCTGATGCAGCTTCCATTCTGATGAGAGAGATAAACAATAAGGAAGATAGATGAACTATTTAGCTTTAAGACTGCAGTAAATTCTTTTTTTTTTTTTTTAAAGATGACCGGTAAGGGGATCTTAACCCTTGACTTGGTGTTGTCAGCACCACGCTCAGCCAGTGAGCGAACCGGCCATCCCTATGTGGGATCCGAACCCGGGGCCTTGGTGTTATCAGCACCGCACTCTCCCGAGTGAGCCACGGGCCGGCCCCAAGACTGCAGTAAATTCTGAGGATAAAAAAATAAGTCAGAAAAGTAGGAATAAAACCTTGGTGGTGTGTGTGTGTGTGTGTGTGTTGAATTGGAGGGCCAAGGAAGTCACTGGGATGGTGACTTTTGAGTAAAGATCTGAAGGAAGAGAGAGAGAGCCTTCTGATATTCGGGGAAGAGCATTTTAGGGAGAGAGAACAGCAAGTTCAAAGGGCCTAGAATGGCTGCAGCATGGTGTCCTATGGGGAGAGGAGTAGGAAATGAGGACAGAGAGGTAGCAGGAGCCAGACAGATATGGCCTTGCAGGTCATAATAAGGACTTTGGCTTTTTACTCCGTGTTGGGCAGTCAATGGAGGGTTGTGATCAGAGGATTCACACAATCTGATTTACATTTTAACAGAGTTATTCTGGCTGTTCTACGAAGAATAGACTTAAAGGGGACAATGGCAGAAGTAGGGAGACAAGTTGGGAGACTATTATAATAATACAGAGACAGTGGATAAGAAGTGGTTGCATTCTGAATATATTTAGAAGGCAGAGACAAGAAGATTTGCTGACAAATTGGATGTAGAGTATTTTTGGCCTGAAAAACTAGAAAAGTGATGTTGCCATTTTTTGAGATGGAAAGACAGGAAAGATGCTTTTTCTTGAGGGGGAGGGGAGAGAATATCTGAAGCTTAGTTGTGGGTGTGTTGAGTTTGACATGGCTATGAGAGTAGAGACGCTGAGGGGCAAGAAAGCATATGGGTATGCAGGTCAGAGGAGAGATCTGGGCTGGATATATCAATTTTGGAATCATCAGGAACATAGATGGTGTTTAAAGTCATGAGACTGGATGAGATCAACAAGGGAGTAAGTGTAGATGGAAAAGAGTTTCCTCCAATATTCAGAATTTGAGGAAACTAGGAGAAGCAGCAAATCAGATGGAGAAAGAAAGCCAAAAAGATAAGTAGAAAGCCAGGAGAGTTGGGTGGTATTCTTGAAGCCAAGTAAAGAAAAGGTATTAGGAAGGAGGAAGTGATCTGTTACAGCCTAGTTCTACACAAAATTGGGTTTCTGTTTGTTTCCCCAGCAGACCACAATCTCCTTGGGAGCAAGGACTGAATGGTTTCTCCATTCCCAGTGCTGGGCTGACTTTCTCCTGGATCCCTCATCTACTCCTCCTGTGACCTATGTCTCCATCAGGCTCTCCTGCTCTTTTCCTTACAGGATCCCTACATCAGACACACCCCACCCTTTTAAAAAAATTTTAACTTACACATTGTAATTGTACATACTTATGGGATACAATCTAATATTTTCATACATATGTATTTTGTATAATTGTCAGAGTAGTTAATGTATCAATCACCTCATGCATTTATTGTTTATTTGTGGTAAAAACATTCAAAAGTCTCTCCTCTAGCTTTTATGTTTTGTTTTGGTTTTGGGCAGCTGGCTGGTATTGGGATCCAAACCCATGACCTTGGTGTTATAAGGCTGTGCTTTAACCTGCTGAACTAACTGGCCAGCCTAGCTACTATGTAATATACAAAACTTAACTGTTAACCATAGACTTCAGGCACCATTTGCCTTCTGTCCTTCCTCACAGCTCTGGCCTGCTGCAAATTCCCCAGTTACCTAAAGTTTCTTTCCAAAGTCTTCAGCCAGGTTCAACAAGTCATGATGACTGGTTAGCTGGTGACATTTATTGAGTGCCATCTGAGTGCCAGACACCTTGCTAGGCCCTGATGATAGAGATAAGGCAGAAATAATCCCTGCCTTATAGAAAAATATAGTCTAGTGAGGACTAAGACAGTAACGCACTGTTGTGGAAGAGTGTGGTAAATGTTAAAATCAATGTATGTAGAGTGTTATGAGAGCACAGAGGAGGCAGAGATGAATGGGTTCTGGATAAACTAAGTTTAGACTTTTGTTCCAAAGAAGGAAACATTTGCTTGAACCTTGAGGGATGAGTAGGAGTTAAGCCTACTGGTAGATAGGTAGGAGAAAGAGTGCATGAGGAAGCATGTTTTATTCAAGGGCATGGAGTTGAAAATAGATTATAAGTTTGGAGAGCAGTGAGAATCCATATGAGTCAAATGAGGTGTCTGGGGATGAAGAGAGATGAGAAAGAATGTGAGGGATTCCAGATGGGGAAGGGCCTTGGGGGCCTGACATAGAGTGGATGGGATGGGAGACAGGCATCCTGGGTCTCACCTTGGCCCTATTGCTGACTTGCTGGGGACCCCTGATAGGTGCCTCCCCATTGCCAAGCTTCCATTTTCTCAAACATAATGTCTCCTAACCATGACTCCAGCTCTGATGTGAGTGCCCGGAATGGATTTCCCAGGCCTGGCCCTTTCCTGAGATTTTTACCTGCCCCTTCTTAGTGTTTTACCCAAACCAGGGCCTGGGAACTGAAAGCAGAGGCAGGATTTAACAACAGTCAGAAATAAATTCAGAGCCCATTGGCTGGAGATGGAAACCTATGACTCTATTCAGAAAATTCTCCAGGATTCAGGAAGAGCCAGAGCTGAATGGTGTGAATTCAGTGAGAGCTGCTTATTCATTTATTTCATAGGTCTAGAGGAGCATGGCGGGCCCTGGCAGGGAATAGAGGAGACTATCACAATCACCACCTCTCCTGTATACTCAGGGATGTTTGGTCTTCAAAATGCTTTTACACTCACAGTCTCTTCTTGTCCTCACTCCAGCCCTGGGAACCCTGCCCTCATTTAGCAGAAGAGGAACCTGAGGCTCAGGAAAGTAAAGTGGCTTGTCTGAGCTGAAGCTACAACTCAAAAACGTCAGTCTTGCATTCATTCCACAAAGCTTTTTAATGGGCTGGTCTGTGCTTGGTGACAGGGACCCACA